AACACTAGGGCTGTACTCTCATGTAATTGCATTTTCTCCTGGGGATTCTAGGATTTCCCCAAGTACTTTAAATGATTTTTATCATTGTCTCATTCTACATCCTAGTGGGTTTTTTTGGTGAAGACTTTGATGAGAAATAAAAACAATTACTAGGTCAGACAGATAAACACTTCTAAGAGGAAAATCTCTATAACTCTACGCTTCCCAGGCAAGTAGTTATTATGCAGAGATCTAGCACAGTTTTGACAATGTGTGGTTTAGCTTTCCAAAGACTTTGTCAGTCCCAAATTGGACAGCTTTTCCTAGCTTTTCAAGATTTTGTTACTAGCAGACAGGTGACCATTTGTTGTCTAACAGCGAAACTTCCAGAGTGATGGTTGTTTCTACTGAGCCCAATTCAGCCCCAAAGATACTGGTGCTATCTCTATAGGGAGCACAGATCGCAGAGCTGGCTTTGAAAAGCTTGAATGTAAATATTTCAGAAATAAGATGGTGAGTTCATGTCTTGAAAAAAAAAGACTCATCAGTGCATCCTAAAGGCTGCTAGCTTGTTTTTCCCTTCCAGGACCTGGAGGTTTGTGTAACTGCATTGCAGTACTTGGTCCACTTGACGTATGGGGTGTATAGTTTTGAATTTCTGTTTTCTAAACACACACAATGGTTGGGGAGATAGTTAAGTTTGTAGAACATTATCTGTGCAAACATGAGAACCTGAGTTTGATCCCCAGAACCCATGTAAAACACAGGGCACAGTGGTATGCACCAGTAATTTCAGTGCCAGTGAGGCAGAGATAGGAGGATCTTGGAGCTCATTATCTAGTTTCATTTTAAAAGTAATTATTTATTTTTAAGTATATGGGGTTTTGCCTGTATGTCAGTGTAAGGGTGCCAGAGCCCCTGGAACTGGCAATTGGGAGCTGCCATGTGGATGCCTGGAATTGAACCCTGGTCCTTTGGGAGAGCAGCCAGTACTCTTAACTACTGAGCCATCTCTCAAGACTCCATAGTACTAGTTCTTAAAATCACTTGCTTATTGAGAACTTTATAACAAAACACAATTTGTTCCTCCATTCACAATACTTCATGACTACAAAATGTTTAATTATAGTAAAATACTTGTGCAATTTGCCATATCAGCCATTTTATGATGCAGATCATTTATATTGTAGCCCGTGTCTCATTCACATTCATCTTTAGAATTTTCCATCCTCCCAGATAGCAATTCTGTGATCATGAAATAGAAACTTCCTGTTCCTCTGTTCACTGAACATCTCATTTCCCTCATTGTATTCAACATCTTTATAAACCTGACTGTCATACTTTTTTCCTTGCTCCAACCAAATCCATAACCAGAAGCAATTGAAAGAAAACAGGGTTTGTGTTAGATTACATTCTGAGGGACTCATCCCATTGTGGTGGAAAAGAGATGATAGCATTACAGAATGCAGTGGCAGGAGTGAGTGGCTGACTGATCATATGGCATCCACACTTAGGAACCAGATGGAGAACAGGAAATAGTAAAGAGCCATAAACATCAAAGCCTCCCCCTCTTCCCCACAGCAAGGTTCTACCTCTTGAAAGTTCCACAACCTCCCAAACAGCACCACTATCTGGGGACCTAGTGTTCAAGCTCATGAGCTTATGGTGGACATTTCTCACAACACTCCCTAAGTGTAATCATACAATATCTGCCCTTTTGTGATGGAATTATTTCACTTAACACAATGTCTTCAAGGTCCATCCATCTTATACCATATTTTATGATTTATTTCCTTTAAAGGCAGAGTAAAGTTCCATTGTATGGATAAATCACATTTTGTTTAGCCTTTTGTTCCTCAGTGAGCACTTTGCTGGCCTTCCCTTTTGGGTATAGAAATAATTTTGCTAAGCACAAAATTGTACAAGTATGTGTTCAGGTTCCTGCTTTCCATTGTTCTGGACATGCACCCAGAAGTGGCACTGCAAGATTATATAGTAATTCTGTGTTTGGCTTATTTTTTTATTTTATTAATATATTTTTCGAGGAGCACCTGCCCTATTTTCCATTTCTTTCAGAGAGAGAATTTATTCATTTTTTCCTATGTGCCATGGATATACTCCTATAGGATGAATCAATTTACTACAGAGTTGACATTGACTACCACTTATATTGTATAGTCTATAATAATAGACAGATAGATGTCATTGTATTCACCATGCCAGTATGATGCACACTTGTTCATAGCCCTAAAGACCTCCTACCACCTTACCCATTCATTTCCTCCCCAGGCCCTAGAAACCTGATTTTTAAATATTTTTACTGTCTTTGTAGTTTTGCTCTTCCCACAGCATGATAAAATTGGAGCTATACAATGTCCTGGTTAGCCTTAACTGTCATCTTGTTATAACCTATAATGATCTGGGAAAAGAGCCCTGGTTGAGAAATTGCCTAGCTCAATTGGCCTGTGGGCATGTCTGTGGGGGTAATTGTCTTGATTTTGAATTTATAAAGGAGGACCCAGCTCACTGTGGGTAACACCATTCCCTGGGCAGGTCATCTTGAACTGTCTAAAGAAAGCTAGCTGAGTATAAAAACAGGTTGCCAGCCATAAAGCAGTGTCTTCTATCATTCTTGCCACAGTTTTTTGGCTGTCAAGGAGGGTCCTAGGCTGGAGGTAATGATATATAGAATAGTAATCAGGCCTGCTTTCAAGTTCCTGCCTTGACTTCTCTCAATGATGGACTGCCTTAGTTAGGATTTTCTATTGCTGTGTAGAGACACCATAATCAGGGTAACTCTTATAAAGAAAACGTTTAACTGGGGTGGTTCACTTAGAGTTTCAAAGGTTCAGTCCATTATCATCATGGCAGGGAGCATGGCAGTGTGCAGGCAAACATGGTGCTGGCTACATCTTGGCTTGCAGGCAACAGGAAGTCGACTAAGAAGAGACACTGGGTGGTATTCTGAGCATAGGAAACCTCAAAACTACCTCCACAGTGACACACTTCCTCCAACAAGTCCATACCCACTCCAACAAAGTCACACCTCCTAATAGTGCCACTCCCTATGAGATTATGGGGCCAATTACATTCAAAATACCACATGGACAATATGGAATTGTAAGCTAGATAGACCCCTGTCCTCCTAAAATTTGCTTTCAGTCAGAGTATTTTACCACAGAAACACAAATAGGACGAGAATGCAGAATATGTGGCTTTTTGTGAGTGTGTGTGCATGTTCATATGTGTCCACATGTGTCTGGGCATGTATGTACATGTGTTCATGAGCATTTAGAGGCTGTAGATCAATGTTAGATGTTTCCTCAATTGCTCTCTACCTTGCATTTTTGGGACAGGGTCTTTCACTGATTAGACTCTGTTGGCTGGCTAGGGCTCTTCTTATCTCCATTTGCCCCTAGCACTGGGGTTATAGGCATGTGCCATAATGCTCTGTTCTGGGACTTAAACCCAGGTCGTCTTCTTGCAAGGCAAGTACTTTGCCTATCAAGCCATTTTCCCACCCCAATATAGTTTCAGATTAGTCACTTTCACTGAGCAGTATAATTTTACAACCATAATCATTTGCAACAGTATGGCTGAGTAGCTACCACAGATAATGTGTGGCCCAGAAAACCAGAAGTATTTACCTTCTAGCTCTTCACAGACAATATTTGCCAACTCCTGCCTGCCCTTGATCACAGAGAAAATATAACTGGAACCAAACTATTCATTACTTGTAAAATGAGCGTACCAAGACATTCTGCCAATCTCTAAAACAAGCAGAATAAACACATATGTAAGTGTAAGTATAGGTTGCAAAGGTCAGTTAGAAACTTGTGCTGAAAGTGTTGGCAAGAATCTGGGAAATATAGTGTGGTGGTTACTATTCATTGTTAACTTGATTAGCTTCAGAATCACCATAGAAACATAGCTCCAGATATGTCTCTGAAGGCATTTCCAGAAAGGTTTAAGTGAAAAAATAAGGTCTACTTTGAATGTGAGCAGCACCAGTGGTGGACTGCATAAAAAGGAGAAGGTGAGATGAGCTTCAGCATTCATTTGTGCTTCTTGACTGTGGATACAATGTGACTGGCAGCCTCAAGTTTCTTCCATTATGTCCCCATCATAATGAATTAACTCTACCTCCAAACTGTGAGCCAAATGAACCATCTTTCCTTAAGGCTGTTCAATCAAGTAACAAATGTATGTAAACATATAGAAATAGTATAGTAGATTATATAATACATTTAATACATATGTTTTTATCTATAATACCTATATTGTAGAATTATATGAAGAATTCTTTTGATAGTATTGAGGATTGAACTTAGGACAAATGATCTACCACTGAGTTCTAAAATTGCACTTATAATTACACAATTATAATTGTATTATAGATGCATCTATATAGTATGTAATGCTATAATAATATACATTTTATAGATATACTTTTATTTATTTATTTTATATAAATTTTATTTACATTAGAAACAATCTTATTTTACATATCAATCCCAGTTCCCTTCCATTCTCCTATATCCCACCACGACCCCCCATCCCATCCTCCATACACTCTCCAGTGAGGGTGAGGCCTTCCATGAGGGAATCATTAAAATCTGTCAAGTCATTTGGGGTGGGGCCTAGGCCCTCCGCTGTGTATCTAGGTTAAGAGAGTATCTATCCATGGGAAATGGGCTCCCAAAGTCCATTCTTGCACTAGGGATACATCCTAGTTCCCCTTCCAGAGGCCACATAGGCTGTTCAGTGCTCCAAACTGACACCCATGTTCAGGGGGACTGGTTTGGTTCTATGTTGGTTCCCTAGCTGTCAGACTGGGGCCCGTGAGTTTCCCACTTGCTCAGGTCAGACATTTCTGTGGGTTTTCCCAGCGTGGTCTTGACCCCTTTGTTTGTCACTCCTCCCTCTCTAAAATTGGATTCCAGAGTTTGACTCAGTGCTTGGCTGTGGATCTCTGTTTTTGCTTCCATCAGCTACTGGGTGAAGGCTCTAGGATGGCATTTAAAAATATGGAATGCTTCATGAAATTGCATGTCGTAGTTGCACAGGGGCCATGTTAATCTTCTCTGTATCATTCCAATTTTAGTATATGTGCTGCTGAAGTGAGCACTAGATATACTTTTATATACAAATGATGTAATATATATTTGACTATTCTTTAGAAACATATATAAAAACATGTAACAGTATATAGTAATATGTTACTATATGCAGTATACATATATATCTATATATCTATATTATAAATATAAATGCATCTATATTCTAAATGCATGAATATATAATTCAATTATAATATGTTAGTATATATTATATAACTTATATACAGTAATGTGTAATTATATAAACATATCACATACATAACTTTTGTATTTAGAAGTGTGGAACAGATATATAATATAGGAATATATTTATGCACAGTGTCTTCCTGGATTTTTTTGATGGGGTCTCACTATTCAGCTCATGCTGACCTAGAGTCCACGTCCTTTAGCTTCAGCCTCTCAACTATTGAGATTACATGTGTGGTTTAGATGTTTTCAAGCTGGGTAGAGAACTCAAATTTATTTGTGGGAAGGAGATGATGCAATTTGAATAAAAAAATAAACAGACATTCTTACTGGGTTTTAAAAGTCATTTGTAATATAAATTTGGACAAGATGATGATAATAATTATTTATCTTTTGTAGGAACCTAAACAGTTTCCAGAAGGGCTTTCTGTTCTTTTGAAAAATAAGATAACAGGGTCCCTCAAAAGAAAAGTAAGTTCCAGGCAAGCAGTTTCCAGGGACCTGAGCCTCCCCAGAAGGAGCTGGGGAGAGCAATTTATATGTTCATGGTGTCTCTCAGGAGCTGCTCTTTGTTGTATTTTACAAACAAGAGAGGGCAGGAAGCCTGCAGAAATTATGCTGTGCTCTCAGAATGAAAACATAAAGGGAGCTAAGAGCATCATAGTGGCATGCCGCCTTTTCTTTCTCCCTTTGTAAATAGTGTTTGTGTGCAGTATCATCTTCAGTATTTAGAACTGTCAGTAGACCTCATGACACAGCAGTAAACAATTTTCCCCTTACCTTTTCAGCAAAGGAAAATCCAGGGAGCATCCCCAGGCTGTTCAGGTTATTATCTCTGCCTCCGGCTTCTTGCTCCACATCCTTCTCACTGAAAACAATTTAGAGTCATGGGGGTTAGGGGAGTCAGGTCTCTGTCCATGTACTCTTGAAGATAATTATGATGTTATGATTCACGGGTGGCCCTGGTCTGAGGGTTTTTATAATGCCCTATGGAGAGTTTAGCACCCAGGCAGAATGATGCCAGAGCCCCCAGTTGCGAGTGTGAGTATGTGTGTGTGTAAGCAAAGGTTGTTCCTTAGGTGCCACTCACATTTTTCTGGAAACGGGGTCATTTACAGGCCTGGAGCTCATCAAGTAGGCTAGTTAGGCTGGCTAGGAAGCCTCGGGGATTCATTTGTCTCCATTTTTCTAGCTCTGGGCTTACAAACACATACCACCACATTTTTGTTTTGTTTTGGTTTTGAGACAGGGTTTCTCTGTGTAGCACTTGGCTGTCCTGGAACTCAATCTGTGGACCAGGCTGGCCTTAAACTCAATAATCTGCCTACCTCTGCCTGTAGAGTTCTAGGATTAAAGGTGAGCACCATCATCCTGCCTGGCCCACATCTAGCTTCTTATGTGGGTTCTAAGTGTTGAACTCAAATCTACGCAAGCACTTTCCCCACTTGGCTGTCTCAGTTTCACTTCCTTTGCTGTGATACAGCACCCTGTCACCCCAGCCACTGCGCTGATCTGGGATTATTTGGAGTGTGAACCTGAAAGTCTAAGCAGAGCTTCAGCTCAATGCTTCACTCAGTCCTCATCAGAGAAGCTTCGTACAGCAGTAGATGGGAGTGAACACAGAAAGCTACAATTGCACAATGTGCAGAGAAAAAGAAACATGGGGATGTGAAGCTCTAAATGGGATGTCTTTATCATACTCCACCCGGCAAGGCTCAGGGATCTATGCAGAAGAGGGGCCAGAAAGATGGTAAGAGCAAGAGGAGGTGGATTCCTCCAGACAAAGGGTTTTGTTTTTCAGACATGATGGGGCAGATGCACATATGAACTCACAGGAACTGTGACAGCAGGACAAGTCACACAGAATCCAGCACGGAGGAGGGGAAGTGGGCACAAAGTGCGATCCATAACCAAGAAGTTATTCTCAATTGATAGCTTCTAGGAGAGGGAAAAATCTGTTCAATGGAGTGACTCTAGGGATATCAGCCATACTTGAGGGTGTGTCCATACTCATGTGTAGTTAGCCATTATAATTTGTTATTTTTAGAATCGAAAATAGATTTTTCTATAAATATATTCTGATTATGAGTTTCCCTTCCCTAACTCCTTCCACATCTTCCCCACCCATCCAAATTCATGCCCTTTCTTGCTCTCTCTCATTAGAAAACAAACAGGCTTCTAAAAGTAATAATGATAATAAAATAAGACAAAATAAGAAAAATAATAAAACAAAATAAGAAAAACAACAAGAAATACACGAAGATGCAGAGACACACATATTTGCATATACAGAAATCTTATAAAAACACAAAATTGAAAATTGTAATTTATAAGCAATAGGCCTGTAAGGCTAAAAAAATGCCCAGACAAAACATTATGAGACAAAAACAAAACAAAACCAACAATAAAACAAAAACCTACAAAATACCATTAAGGTCATTTTCTGTTGGCCATCTGTTGGAGGGTATGGGGCTGCCATTAATTGTGGCTTGTGTACCCAGTGAGACCCTTGGAAAAAACCTAATTTTTCTTTTTTGAGTGAATGTTAAATGGATATAGCTTCTAGGTTAGGGATGGGAGCTTGTGTACACTTTCCTTCTCAGTGCTGGAACCCCATCTGACTTAGACACATGAAGGCTCTCTGCATGCTGGCACAGTCTCTTTGATTTCATATGTACATCAGCCCTATTATGTTTAGAAGGTCTTGTTTCCTTGGTGTCTTCCATCCCCATTGGCTCTTATTTCTGACTTCTCTTTCACAGAGTTTCCTGGTGGAGACACCCCATTTAGGGCTGAATGTTCCAAGGTCTCTAATCTCCTACGTGTCTCTGAACTGAATTGAGTTGTTAGCAAAGATTAGCTGTCACACCCGATGCTATTGTTTAGTGCCTACCTATTCCTTCACACGCAGAGCCATGTTGCATGGGAGCATATTACATTACTTTTATTATTCTTACAAGATTGCCAAGGGCCTTGTAAGGTAGGACTCTCAGTTTGCAGAGGACTGCAGAATCTCTAACAAAGGAAATATGGTTAGCACTTGTCCCAGAGTCAGAAGTTCCCAAACTTTAGTCTCCTTCTGAATTTAGAATGTATGCCAGACTCATTGTGGACTCTGTAATGCCTCTTGTTATTTACAACCTGAAGTCATTAGTGTGAAGAGAAATGGGGACCATTTTGTGACAAAGAATTCTCTGAGGGATTTTGCTTGAGGTGTCGAGGGGAGTTTTCAACATTGTGGGGAAACAGCTGTAATGGTACTTGCAGGAATGAAGACATTCCAAAGAGACACTTGCACCCCTTCTTTGACTGTTAGAATATGGAGGCAATAGGCCCTAGGAAACTGTCATTTCCCCAGGAATCTCATGTTAGGAAAAGGAAATGGCTAAAGGCAGTTGTCAGCCAAGAACTTCTCACCTAGGAAAAGATTTTACTTACTTTTGACAACTTGTCAGACAAACTTGCAAGAGAGACTAGAATCAGGAGAAGATGGGTCAGTGAAGGGTGGAATCACACGGTCACTGTTGAGTCACACACACACCTCTTGCCCTCATATCAAAGCCCTGGAGATGGACTTGAAGATTAATGGGTCCCCTCTATTTGTTCAGTTTTCCAGTGGGACCACATTGACTAAACCTCCTTTCTCTGTTCTTTACTTTATTTGAAGATAGGGAGTAATTTGTTAGGGCTGCTACAGGCTGGGTTCTGGCCCTAAGAGCTCTGCTAACATCAGCTTTTAATGCCTTTGAATGTTAATATGATTTCTGCTTTTTCAGAATCTGAAAGTTTGAAGTCCCTGGGACTTTTAATCTGGGACATACACCTTGCTAGGGACAATGATCAAGACATTGCTTGATTTAGGAATTGTGTTTTCATGTGTTTTGGCTTCCCATAACTCTTAGGTGGAGGAGAAAACAAAGGAGTGAATAGGAAAGTATGAGTTTATATACAGGTGTCCTACCCCAATGAGCCTTTCATTTAAGTGACATCTATTTGGGTAGAAAATGCGTCCAAAGGCTGTGCTTGCAAATAATTTTCCAGAGTACTTCTGAGATGTCAGGATAATTTTCTAATGTGTTTGATATGTTCCACAGCAAGTCCTATTAAAATAATATCATGTGAACCTGTTTCTGCTTGACCCTTGGGACACCGAGCTTTGCTTTATATCTGGGGCATGTCAGTCTGAACAAAAATTTGGTCATGGGAAATGATGATGGCCTTTGTTTTTTGCATTAGTAAGTTACAGACTAGTGTTGGCTGTATATTAATTTTAGTATTTTGTTTTACTTTTTGGGTCTCTGTGTGTCCAGTTGTATGTCCAGAAGCATAGAAGCCAGAAGACATCTTCTGTTTTTGTTCCTTAGGCACTGTGCACTATTTTTTTGAACGCGTTTTTTTCCTAGCCTGAAGCTTGCCAACAGGCTAGGCCAGATGGCCATCAAGCCACAAGGACCCCCTGTTTCCTCCTCTGTAGAGATTACAAGCACAAGGCACCACACCTGGTGTTTGTTTAAATGTAAGTTCTGGGGTTTTGAGCTCAGGTAGTCCTGCTTGCATGGCAAGCACTTTACTGATTGACTTATCACCCTAGCCCCTGACTATATATTTCAAATGGTAGCTTCCACCCAAGAAGCAGTCACTCCATAGCTAAGATGAAACATACCTGACAGAAATCCAAAGAGAAGAGAAGACATTGTCTGCTCAGCTGTTCATGAATCCCTTCCAGTCTTTTCATTATCTGGCCTGTGTTCTGAGATGCTATTGAATGGGATAGTGCAATCTTTTCCTGTTCTGAGATGCTATTGCATGGGATACTGTAATA